CCTTCGAGATCGACCCGAGTCGGGTAACTCGGTTATCCTTTGCCCATCATTATTATGTTAAACAGAAATAAATAAGCTATTTGTTCGTCGCTAGTGACTACTCTCTCCTACTTTTCCCCTGTCCATGTCATAATAGTTAGCCAAATAACCAACCATTAGGGACGCCCTAAGAAGTTGAAAAGGGCAAGAGAGAAACCTGAAACTTCCAAAACCTCGGAGACTCTTGGGACTCCCGCCACATGCGCCCCGTGGAATGAAAATAGTGTGTCAAGTTGAGTACTTAAAAAAGGAATTTGGGAAAATTTGTTAATCCATCAATGCAAAGTTTTTTCCTTGGCAATTTTGTACTCGAAACATATTAATTATCCATGCTCTAACCAATCAGCACTTGAAGCATCTCATGTTTTGCTATAAAACAACTAAGAAAGTTCCAATGCTGAAGAGTTTCCACGTCAGACAAGGCAAGTTGCATCAGATCCTCTCCAGATACTTTTCATACACTCGATACCAACGGTCGCGTTTATATAATTCCATCTCCGGCAAGACTTTAGGATTCCTCAACAAAAATCACACCATGTCAAGATCAGGCTCCGCACCATCAAATTGGCTGATTCTTAAAGTCTTGAGATGTGATAATATGCATGTCGGCACTTGTTTCGTGTACACCCGGTAACTCAGACCTTCTTCCTTCTGATGATTAGAAAAAATAAGTATTAAACAAAAACGATAACGTCATAAAGTCCAATCTCGATCTATGGCTGTAAAAAGTGCAGAATAATTATTAACTGGAGGAGTGAAAAGAAGAAAGCTTTGCAACTCACAGGGCAGATAATTCTAAGGTCATCAAGGTTTGGGCAATTTGGTCTGTATGCGGCCAAGTGTCAAATTTATTATCTTGGTGGGATCCGACACTTGGGTATTACCCTGTTGGGGTCTTTTTAGTTGTTTTAGTTGTTTTTGTTGGTTTAGTTGGTCGAGTAGTTGGTCATTTTAGTTGCGAGTTTTATTCTAGCGTTGCTAGTGGAATTCTAGGCGGTCTTCTGACCTCCTCCTATTTTATTCTCCTGTTGAGAGTTTTGTACTTGGATTCACACATTTGTGCACTTTTAATTTATAATAGTTCCTAGTTCCGAAAAAAAAAAAAGAAGCTGCGAGAATTGTGAACTCTTCTCGCCCTCCCTTCGCGGCACCTCCCTCCGCTCTGCTGAAGGGCCTCCGCTCAATGAGTTTGCTGCAAAGTGGCTTGGTTCTCCGCAATGACTGATCGATGTATCATCTTACGGATTTCTTCAAAGAAGGCAGCAACCGATCTCAAGATAATTTAAGATCCTGAAGTCCATTAGTCCATCAGACTACGCAGACATGGCCATGGGCCGAGCTGCGCAGCGCCACTAGCTCGACCCCAACCGCCTTTGAATCGCCTGTAGTCTTAGAAATGAGCCAGTAGTTGACCGGACATGTTCCGGTCTAATGTATAAAATGTTTTTGCTGGGTGGGCCGGTTCAGAACATCGACGGCCCGTTTTTTCAATTTTTATTTTTATTTTTATTTTATCTGTGGACCTGGCACCGACTCGTGGCTAGCTACTATGACCTTTGGCAGCCCGCTAATCTGGGTAGTTGGAAATTTTTGATTGTTGGAAATTCAATGTTCAAATTTTTAATTTTAATTTTTAATTCAGTTTCGGTCCGAGTTCGACGCGGTCCGCGCAAATCCACAATGGTTGGCCAACGGTCAAATTTTTCACATCTTATCGTTGGATCATCTTGACAGTTGAGATCCAACAGTTAAGATCCGATCAACCCATTTGACCTGTCGGGTTGTAAATTAAAAACAAAAATTCCAAAAAAAAAAAAGAAGAAGAAAATTGCTATTAATTTTTAAAATATATATTTATAAATGTTCTTGTAGGCATAATAAAAATTCAATTCTATAAGTATAAAAAAATTACACATAAGATTACTATGCACCATTAATTAATTAATGGGCAGATTTGGGAATATCTTTATTTAAAATTAGAGATTCCTCATTCATGCTTAATTTTCATCTGTTTGCTGAAAATACTAAAGGATACAAGCATACTGCATATATGTATATTAAGTATGGCCTGAATGATGACCATAATGAAAACATTCAAGCTATTCTCACATAATCATGATGACTTGGTTCAAATTATCCAAGATTATTTCTATTTTGAAGCCATCACAAGGAGACAGACAAATGACAAGCTTCATATAATCATGAAATCACTTATCATCATAGTTTATATTTGATATATGAACATAAACTTTTTAGCCATGTAATGATAATATAACTTGTTATAAGCTATAAATAAACCAAACCTAGACTTCCAAAAAAAAAAAAAAAAATGTAAATTTACAATAAAAGTGTATCTTTATATGAAAATGTTATATTTTCAAAAATATTCATATTTGTGCAAAATGTTTCAAAAATAGTAGTAACAGGGGTAAATACTAGTTCAACTCCAAATCATATTTTTAATATGTTTAGAAATTTTTTATTTTAAATTGTAAGTGTATTAACTGGATAATTGTATATTTAAAAAGTTTTTTTTATTTTTAATTGTAAATACACTAACTTTGTGATTTATTTTTATCACTAATTAAAATAAAAAGCTGTAGAAAATATGTAAAAGAGATTTTTTTTTTTTTTTTTTTTTTTCTCTCTTTAGGGTCGTTTACATTCGGAATAAGATTTATTTAGTTTCAACGGTTTAGTTTGAGCTCTTTAGGGCTAACCCATAGGTTAGGCTCCTTGGTCTGCCAACTTAATTACAAGATTTATGTTATTTTTTAATTTTAAAAAAATAATCATACTTATTTTCGTTCTTTATAAAATATTCAATTATTTATTTTATTTTGATTTTTTTGCCTTGTTAACTTTTGTTATTTTTCTATTAATTTTAAGAAAACATATAGTAGAATTGCTTATTATTTAAAGATAAAGAGAATGGTTGTTAGGAAAGTCATTTAAAACATGCCAATAATATATACAGTGAAGCTTAAACTCAAGACAAAATTAGTTGAGAATTTTTCAATCAATTTTTTTGGTAGTTGCTGGTAAATGAGCAGAGCTGCTACTGCAACAAGAGTGGGTACAAATGCCACTAAAACAATAAAACTTGAGCAACACTGAACATATAACACTTGGGAGTTTATGAATCATAATCAAGTTACGAACCCGATATTTTCATCGTCTCACGATATTGTGCACGAAACATAGCAAGTCGAAATAATTGCTACAGAACTCGAACGTTCAATCGTTGAATGTATTAAACAGCACTTACGATATAATAAAATTACTACTATATAAAAAAAATCTCAAGTCAATCACTCAACAAACTCAATAGAAGGCAAGCTGACATGCGTTGGATCCTACCTCAAACAATGAAAGTCGAGGAACATTCAACGGTTGAATAAGACCTCAGCCCAACCATTCAACAGTCTGGAAGTCAAGCTGACATTCGTTGGATCCTCTCTCAAACAATGAAATTCTTTTAATCCCTTGAAATTGTGTTTCCTCATCAATGTATCCATCAGGTGACGTAAATAGTTCCATCTTCTCCAATACTCGAGAGTTCCTCAAAAGATATCTTACCATATCAAATCCAGGCTCAAAGAACCAAATACACTTAATTGTTATAGTTCTTAGACATGATAGTAGGCATTTAGGCACTTGTTCGGGCTCCAGACATAAATCTACCTTTACAAAATCAACCTGCTCACATTAAAAGAAGCATAACAAAACGATAGAAAACAAAAGGAGACATTGCTGTAAGAAAAACGAGAAACGGCTAAAGACAAATTTAATTGCATCAACGATAAACTCCACTTACAATAAGGACTTGAAGATTATCAGCAATTTCAAGGAAGTTTACAAGCAAACTCCATTTGAAGTGCAACCAGAGTTCAAGTTTGGATAAATTATCAAACTTCACAGTTGAACAAGCAACTCCTTTAAGAACAAGCTGAAAATATTAAAACCACGTTACGCATGTATATGTGTATATAACAATAAAGCCGAAAACTAACTGAAAGGAGGCCCAAGAGATTGGAGAATCAAAACATACCTCCGAAAATTTCTGACATGATATCATTAGGCACTTTACATAACACAGAGAATGAAAAAACTTCCCCACGGTGGAATTGTAAATTTGTAAGTTGATATCCCCCTCAACTAAGGAGATCATGGTTATAGGAATTGTTATACACCCCAAACCATTATAGCCACTCACTTGGAGATACCTAAGGGCCGAGGCTTTTATTATAATCCTATATCTAATGTCAGATGGAAAACACAAATCGCCAAGATCGAGCTTAAGCGTCTTTATTGTGGGTGATGATATATTTATGCAGCCAACATAATCACTTTCATCCTTGAACGGAAATTCCATATTCAACTCCTCGAGCGAAGGACAACCGGAAAGAAAGTGAGGAAGCGCATCATCATTCTCGCATATAAGATTATAAACAAAAAACTTCTTGAGGCTAGGCAGAGAGACAATATTCACAGCAGAGATTGGAGTGCGAACGTTATCAAGCTTCAAGTCGACAATGGTTTTGCAGTTGAAGAGGGGTCGAGGGAATGTTACGAAGTTAAGATCAAGATAAAGATTCCGGATACTACGGTCGATGGTGGTTGTAATCAATGTCTCCAATTGATAATCATCGTTGCAGTTGACGCGATCAAGTGCGAAAGTATCCATTCTATTTAACTTGTGCCGCAATATAACCCTATGGATGACTTCCAAGGCTTGTGTTCCTCCTCCTTCCCTGATATCGTCCCAGCGGAAGTCCAAACAGGGTACATGGGCCCATAGAAACCTCCATCTTTTCCCGAGGACGCTGGTCGTCACTGAGAACTTTGTCCGAAGGAAAGAGAGAATGTGGCATATGATGTCGTCTGGCAAGCTGCTCAGCCTATCGATTGAGGCCATGTTTTGCTCTCCGCGCGCAATTCTGACAAAGGGCGCCCGATTTTCACAACTTCAAACCTACGAGGATTCAGATTATTGTGTAATGGGCAGTTTAATTCTAACTCTAATGTGAAGAAAATGATGAGACAAATATGAAAAAGCTTGAGAAACCTGAAACCTCAAGCCTAAGCACGGAGACTCGTGCAATTCCTACCGCCACATGCTACCGGCAATACAACACAAACAGAAACTACCAACCACCGGCAATAAGACTGGACAATGGGAGATACAATTGTCAATTGCAAGTTAGTGTTAAATTGATCAAGAAAATAGCTTTATAAGCTACGTTTACCTTGAAAATTCAATGGTGATATCCCAATTAACACTGGTCGGGAATTGGCCGGAGTTGAGGAGATGAATGGGAAAGACGACGATGTGGAAGTGTGACAGTAGGGCTGAAGGATCTATCAACTGATTCTCTATTGGGCTTGGGCCAAGTAGTATAGCTCAGTCGGTTGTAGCAACAAATATTATCTAGCACAATAATTAAATTGATTTATTTCATTTTTGTATAAGTTAAATAAAATAAAAATAAATATGTAATTCGCCATAATAAAAAGAGTGAAATTTACATAAAAATAATGCTAAATATTATGAAGAAAATTTGAGAAATTTCTTAAGAATCACAACTGAAAATAAAAGAGAAAATTATTTTCATTCGAAAAAAAAGTAAGAAAATAAGCAGTCAAAGCTCCAAACTTTGTTTCACTTAAATATATAAATTAAGTTTACTGGAGTACATGATAATTATTTATAATTATATAAATTTTTTTATTAGAAATTTTAGTTTTTATTTCATATTTAATAAAAGGTAAATAAAAAATCTAAATTGAAACTCGGCTGAAATTATTTGATTTCACTTAACTCTTTTATGACTTATTTGATTTCACTTAACTATTTTATGACTATCGCTAGCATAATTGAAGTGTGCAATCATATCATTATAACATTGTGTATATCCAAGTAAGAAGATAAAATTAACAAAGCATATAAAAGAATAAGAGAAAATATGTAAAAAGTTATTAATTTTATTAATAATAACTCTTAAAAACTTGTGCAGAAAAAAATTAAGATTATTTTGTATTTAATATTTTATTATATAACTAATATTTTTATATATATACACATACATATTGAAAAAATAAATAAAATTGGGCCTTGGGGTAAAGTTGTTGAGCAAAATGTGCCCATATCAGCTTGTTTTGTAATTCAGTCGTGTCTCTTGAAATATTAAAATATAAATCATCCATCATGCTTCCTGATCTGCAGTCTCATTTAATAATTTCTAAAATTTAAGAGAAGTACAAAATTTGTGTTAATACTAAAAACAATGAAAGTTCATGTGAATTTGCGAAAGCCAATAACTAAAATGAACTTTAAGGAGAGAATTTCACTTTTCCATAACTTTTTCATTAAGCAAGTGTTTGACCAACAAGTAAAAATATGAATTACTCGTCTAGACACCCTCTACCTAAGCTTGTTAATAAATCAAATTTTTTTGATTCGATTCGATATTCGTGATTCGAATTCGAATTCGAATGCGAATAATATTTTATATTCGAAAGTTAAACGAATCTGAATTCGAATTTTTAGATATTCGATTCCAAATTTGAATATTCGATTCGTTAACGATAATTATATAAATTTTATAAATTATATATAGTATATATTTTGTTATAATATATATGTATATATATATATATATTGTTATATTCCTACTATTTTTATGACATAAAAAGTAAAAGCATCATAAATTAACAAATTTTCCTAAAAATATATGAAAAATAAAAATCATTTTTTAATTATTATATTTTTTAATTATAATTTTTTTAAAATAAATTTTGAATCGAATCGAATATGTTCGAATATTCTAAACGAATCGAATACGAATCAAAAAATGAGTTCGCTAACAAATCGAATACGAATACAAATTCGAATCTTTGAATATTTTAATGAATTCGAATTGAATCTCTTAGTATTCGCTTCGATTTGATTCATTTACAACCCTACCTCTACCTAACCTACTTTGTACTGCACCTACATAACTACTCTTTTGGCCACGGTGTGGACTTAAGCTGCACGTATTGATCTCTCCAAGGAGTACGAAGATGCTCGTCCCAAGCACCAAGTAGAAAAACAAACAAACAACTTGAATTACCAGCGGTGTACCAACATATGCTGGAATCCGATCACTATACTAAATATGCTCACAAATTCTCAGTGATAAAAACTCTAAGCTCGTTGAAAGAATAACAGAATAGTTCACTCAATAACCAGAACTCGTGAAACTAAACTATACATAAAATTATAAATGTATGCAAATTCATCATGAATCAGAAGTTCCAAATCTTTTCGATCTTCTGGTGCAGCTTTGAAAATTGAATCCTCATGTATTGTAAGTCAGCATGCACGAATATCTTGCCCAAATCATTCGAATTACTCTCTCTCTCTCTCTCTCTCTCTCTCTCTCTTCGGTGAACTTTCTTTCTGTGTTTCCTTGTCAACTTTCATAACTATCTTCTTGCTCAATTTATTTTCCTTTTTGCTCGGTTTTTGTAGCTCTCATCCTCACATTTTTCAGCTCTCAAATCTCACATGAGACCCTTTATTTTGTTATCATTGTTTTTCTTCTTCCTACAATTAAAAGAAGACAATTAAATACATACCATAAAATATGTAAGAGAATACAAGAAAAGATAATAGGAAAAAGCTTCTTGTACAACTTTTTTGTACAACATTCAATGAAACATAATGTGGCATAATATGGGTGGTTGAGATGCAAATAAATGTATGGTTAAGATTTGAGTTAATGATATATTTAACTATGTTGTCAACTAATGTTGTAACCTACAATTGTATATGTAAAATTGTATATGAAATTTCTTAAGAAATTTATAGTACATCCAAATATGACTATAATTAATTCTAAATACATGATAAGAGATAACTAACATATGGGAAGAGAAGATAAAAAGATCCTCCTTTTCCGCATTGATGATTCCATGTTACATATTTTAAATAATACAAATATGATAAATAAATTTTATTTTAGATTCATTTCAAACAATCCTTACAGTTTCCTTCTTTATTTGGATAGTATACAAACAAAGAAAATATTAAAATGTGGAAAAATAAGTCTGACTTATATTTTATTTGGAAGAATAAGTCTTAATCATATTTAAAAAACTATTTACAGTTGCCTTTTTTTTTTCTCTCTCCCCAGACATATATATTTCTGTTATAAATTCCTACTCCAATTTTCCCGCAATTATTCTATCCCCGTCTCTGGTGAATTTCCCGGCAAACAGAACTATTCACCTCCTCACAAACCCCCTTCCCCGATCTGCGGCCGCATCTCATCCACCGTCCACCGTGACCACCGCACGCCATCTTCTCAATCCGGCAGAACAGATGGAAAGCCCAAGCACGAGCTCGACCTCATTCACCATGGAGCCGAAAACTCCGGAACCGGAGCTTCTCAGCTCCTACCGCCGCCCCTCCTCCTCCCGGACAATCTGCGGCGATCGCTTTATCCCCAGCCGCTCCTCCTCCAATTTTGCCCTCTTCAATCTCTCAACTTCAAGCTCGCAGGCCTCTTCTGACGATTCGCACTCCGCTTACACTAACCTACTGAAGTCGGCCCTCTTTGGACCTGAATCCGTCGCCGGGGTTAGTGGGTTTCAGCCATTGACCCCGGATAAATCTTCTCCCGGAAGAAGATTTGGCAGCCGGAGCAGCGACGGTGGTATTTTGCAGATTAGTCCTCCTAATTGCAACATATTCAAGTACAAGACTGAGACCCGGAAATCTATGCATTCTCTTTTGCCGTTTGAGTGCGATGATGAGCTCCCTGTGGTGTCTCGCAGCCCTGTTAAGGCGCCCCGAAAAGTTGCAAGGTCACCGTATAAGGTAGGATTTGAAATGGGCTTCAAGTTCTTTCTTTCTCCACTTTCTGATTTGGGATTTTCATATAAATTGTCATCTCAGATTTGGAATCGGGTTTCTGAGTTTGTGGGTGTATCCTTATTGTATATTTGTTCATTAAGTTGGTTATTGTTAATTGCCTAATGTTCTGTTGCAGTTGTGTGGTGCTTCATAATATAGTTGATGTCTTGGTTAATGCTGGTTGTTTACTGGGTATATATTTATTCGGTTTGCAATTTGACTAATTTCTAATTAGTTGAAAGTTTATATAGGTTTTGGATGCACCTGGGCTGCAAGACGATTTTTATCTTAATCTTGTAGACTGGTCTTCACATAATGTGGTGGCTGTGGGGTTAAGCAACTGTGTCTATCTGTGGCATGCTTCTAACAGCAAGGTAATACTTTGCTTTCTCGATTTCTTTCCGTTTATGTTTTCATGGAGTGATGAAATTGGCTGTTTTCATATTAATAATGCAGGTTTTGAAGTTGTGTGATCTGGGAGGTGATGACAGTGTCTGCTCAGTTAGCTGGTCACACCATGGTACACATCTTGCTGTCGGAACTCGTAACGGCAAACTCCAGGTGTGCGTTTAAGCTTGTTTTATGATCTCGTGATGTTTACAAGTATACTGAACTTCTCTGATTGGATTCAGAGTGATAAGTTGTTATGATCTAAGTAGGTTTGTTGGATACACAAATGCTGGAACTATAATCATCCATTGTGTCTTAAGTTTTTATTCTATTTGATTGAGGGCTTTGTAACCTTTGAAAGTGAATTTATCATGCCATATCATGAGAACATCTAGCTGCTCCAATAGGGGCTTGAAATGTATAGAGTTTCTTGTGGTTCATTCTTTTTACTTCTCCTCGAAAATAAACTGAACTCCATTATATTCCCTGCAAATGGTTCTCCCAAATGACAGAAACTGTATGGAAAAGTGAACATAGGCACTATCCTGTGCGTGGGATTCTGTGTTTTGCTTCTGCAGCCATCCACATTCATTAAGCATAATATTATTTGGTGCAGTTATGGGATGCCTCCCGTTGCAAGAGGATCAGAACTATGGAGGGGCATCGGCGCCGAGTCGGTGCCCTTGCCTGGAGTTCATCCATATTGTCTTCGGGAAGCCTGGACAAAAGTATTCTTCATCGTGATATACGAGCACAAAAAGATTACGTCAGCAAGTTAACCGGACACAAATCAGAGGTATAGCTCGTTTATGAATTTTCTTTGGGTCGAACATCTTAAATATTATTTTCATATGGTGTTTTGTACTATAATGTAGGTTTGTGGATTGAAGTGGTCCTGTGACAACCGAGAATTAGCATCTGGCGAAACTGACAACAAAGTAAGTATTCTGTACTCGTCTCTGTTTCAGTATCTCCCAAAATTGAATTTATATCCAATTGTCATATCTTGAATTTGATTTTAGCTCATTCGGACTGGTTATGCGTACTGTTTTTGTAGCTTTTCGTGTGGAACCAACATTCGACTCAGCCTGTACTAAAGTACTGCGAACATACTGCAGCTGTAAAAGCTAATGCATGGTCACCCCATGTTCACGGACTCCTTGCTTCTGGAGGTGGCACTGCCGATAGATGCATTCGTTTTTGGAATACAACTACCGATAAGCACTTGAGCTGTACGGATACTGGAAGTCAGGTAAACCTACTTGTCTTTTAGTTCAATTTACAAAGTTCACTCATTAAGTAAAAATATACGATAGCCTTATGGAGAATGACTTGGCAGGTATGCAATATCGTGTGGTCTAAGAATGTCGATGAACTAGTGAGCACACATGGGTACTCCCAAAATCAAACTATAGTTTGGCAGTATCCGAATATGTCAAAGGTACTTCGCACAAATATGAATTAGAAAGAGAATTTGGATTTCGGGCACATTTCGTATTATTAATCTTGTTATTTTCAATGCAGTTGGCAACTCTGACTGGCCATACATACCGGGTATTGTACCTTGCCATTTCACCCGATGGACAGGTACCTAAAAGAATTTTCTTATATGTTTTTCGAAGCACAATTTTGATTTTTTCTTTTATGTAATTCTTTTTTGTTGTGGATTTTTGCAGAAAATTGTAACAGGAGCAGGAGATGAGACACTCAGGTTCTGGAATGTCTTCCCATCACCCAAATCTAAGGTGCCCACTCCACTTTCATCATACTCCGATAGTCATTGCTTTGTCAATGAAAAATAAAAGAAGATTTTTTTTTTTTTTTTTTTTTTTTTTTTTTTGGCTCGTTTTGCGCATGCATTTGATGGGGAAAATTTTTATTTGCCTGTGTATCATACATTTATGTGTGTACTTCCACTGAACTCTTGAAGTTTTTGCTTGCCTGTGTTTATTTCACACTTACACCTGAGTGCCTTGCCATTTAATGAACTTATTTTCTCAGCATATCGTGTATTTTATAACATGTGATGTCTAATACGAGGCAAAACCTTCGATTCTGCAGAACATTCATAGTGAAATTGGAGCCTCGTCATTTGGAAGAACTCAGATTCGTTGATGTTGTTACTCACATACCGTCATGTTTTTTTTGCCATATTTATTTATTTTTGTTACGCTCATAAACGATCAATAGTTTCGACTCTGCCGGCAGAGCAAATACATGCATGAGAGCAAGAGATTAGCATAATCAGATGAAATCTGAGTCGATTGTCCTTGCAATCGCGCAGAATTGTAAATACATGATGGTGGAATTTTCGAAGCATGACCAATTTGTACAAAGGGTCTTTGTTATGTAATATGCTTGGTAACATCTCCTTTTGCCCTCTGTGATTTATCATTTATGGAGATTACATGTTTCAGCATTAATACGACACTTTGGCAGCCTTCTTACGTAGTGAATAATTGTGGCCCATATATTTGATTTATTCTGGAAAAACAACCTTATGCTACTCTTTAAACCGCCTTTCTAATTAAGGAAAAGACTGCAGTCCATCACGGAATAGTTTCCGTGAGGGATTTTAACCATAGATTATCTATAATAACTAACTTGCATACATATCTAATGGCTAAAATCCCTCATGGAATCATTCCGTGACGAGACTGTAGTCTTTTCCTCTAATTAAATTGTAGGTTGTACAAAGTTTGTAGTCAAATCTGAACTAAATCTTGGATTCAATGCGTGTGTCGCACGAGGATGAGTGGACCGTTGTTTTTTTTTTTTCCCGGTGAATTTGAGGATGGGGCAGCGATTAAATACAAGAATTTCACGAGTTCAACCAAACTCCCCAATAACTCTAACAAAAGTTTATTAAAAAATGTGACAAATCAACTCGTATAACATTAAAGCCGCCTCGTACAAGAATTTGTGACTCGACTAACTATTAATAAGTTATCTTTAGGTAATTGGATCATCACATAGTTGTCATGCCTTCAACTAATCAATGCACATTACTCACGAATGTGATGCAGGCAAAAACGCCAAGAACGGGACCATCAACTCTTTCGGCATACCTAAAATACCAGAAAACATATTTAGCTAAGACAAGGCCAAGCAAATAGGAACAACTGGACATAGTAAAAAGTAAAAACTTAATCTGACTTTGAAATGTCATACTTTCCCCACACTTGTAAGAGATGGAGTGCAGCCATAAGAACGAAGCGAAGTCTTTATAATATGATGCTTCAATTCTAAAATATATATATCGATTGAAGAATGTACGACTCGTCGCCGTTAAGTAAGACGACGTCTTTGTATACAAATATTTTCGCTCAAAATGAGTTTTTTTGGTTAACCAAAGTTAATTTTGAAAAAATGTTATAGTTAATTGTTGGTGAGATTTTGATTTTATATTAAATAATATTTGAAATAAAATAATAAAAGTTGATTTTTGATGTAAAAGTAAGAGATAGATGATTTGAAGTGATAGTTAGTTATAATTATGTAAGAGTATAATAGTAAATTAAAATTTATGTGATGCGTAAGAATGATTGATTGATATTATTTAATTATATTAACAATATTTAGAAAAATTTAGTTGACTTAAAGTTGAATTAGATTTTGATTATGATTTGAGTATGAAATGAGTATTTTTGTATACAAACACATGAACTACTAAAAGTTTGATATGATAATAGATATTAAAAGGTAAAATATTCGGATTGATTGAGATACAAAAGTATTTAGAGGAAAGATATCAGTCAGACTAAGGCTACGTTTGGTAAAACTAATTGATAAGCTAGCTTATAACTTATATGTAATTTTTTAGCTTATAACTTATGACTTATAATGGAAAAACTGGCTTATATGATAAAAGTGTTTGGTAAATTAGTTGATAAGGTAACTGAAATAAAAAATTCAACTAGCTTATTTGAAAAACTACCTAAAGTAGCTTGTGAGATAAGCTCAAACTTTTTAAAAAAACTCGTTCTACCAAACGAGACTTATTTGAATACAGGAAGCTTATAAGCTAACCAAATAAGCTAGCTTATATCTTATCAGTAATTTTTTAGCTTATGACTTATAGCTGATAAGCTAGCTTATATGATAAAAATGTTCGGTAAAATTAACTGATAAGCTAGCTGGAATAAAAAATTCAACCAACTTATTTGAAAATACACCTAAGGAAGTTTATCAAATGAGTTCGAGTTTTTTTAAAAAGTCCGTCATACCAAACGGGGCTTATTTAAATACAGAGAACTTATAAACTAACCAAATAAATTATAAGCTAGCTTATTTGTCTACCAAACATAGTCTGAGTAGAGTCCCATTTGGCCAATAATAGTTTACATTTGACATTTGTTCACTTATATTTTCTATGTTATAAAAGAACCCACATGCCTCCCCGGTTAAATTGCGTCTAATGGCTAGGCTTTTATAACTACCTCACCGATAATATTCTAGACCCTTATGAAGCATATGGTTTTTTATTAGATTTTTACACGATTTGTAACACTAATAAATCTTGCCTAACCCATTTAGAATTTAGTGTTAATATGGTTTTTTTTAGCCATGTTGTTGAAAAGATGAAAAAATGAAATTTACTACACTACAAAATAACAAAGGTACAATATTCACATAGCAAAAGTATAAATTTTTGGGAGATACTACGGCCCGTTACAGAAGCATTTCGTCGAGGTTTATAAGAGTTAAATCAACTATTCCCAACAGTTACATGATGATCTAACAACGCTTACACACTCCGACAAAATGATTCCGTAACGGGGCCGTAACATCTCCCTAAATTTTTATCGAACAAAAGAATGACACGTTTATCAATGAGGCCAACAAAATTTTTTCTCACCTATTAACAACTTTCCTTAGCTAATTGGATGACCCCACTTGTCATGCATTCAACTAACTGCACATTTCTCACAATGTGATGCATACAAAAACGTCAAGAACGGGACCATTAAACTCATTCCATATTTTACCTAAAGTGCCTAAAAACGTTTAGCTGAGACAAAGGACCCAACAAATATGAACAACTGGACATAATATAAACAGACAAATTGACCATATCAAACATCTTCCAAATTTCTCATGTACACACCAACTTAAATCTTCCCAATTAACAAGCCTTGCCTAATCTTGCAACACATTTTCACCATCCACACACTATAAATCCCAGAAATTTTTCTATGTACAATGTAAACGGATCATCTTCGCATATCACGAAACCAACAGATAAACACTTTGCAAATACTAGTAATTACTATAAAGTATAAACAAACTTCGTAAATATCCCTAAAAACCAACATTGTGTGGCCGGCTTTTGGCAGACGTTCAGGTATTGATCAGCTGATCGGTCGGAAAACAGCAAGAGCAGGCCTCGGGACATGGTTTGGGAGTCTCTAACTCGGCTGCTTCATGCCGATTGTGATCGCTTTCCAGAGGAAAGCAAGAGATGGACGAGCCCGAAGCCTCCTTGAGTGGGCCCCAGCACTCGACCTTGTTGAATTCCGGCAAGTTTGAGTGGAAATAAACCCAGACCAAGGCATCTAGAAGTTCCGGGTAACTGTTCAACAGGTCCTCGTCCGCGTAGGCAAACGCTTTCAGCACCTAATGATAAACATTCATGCATTATTGCAATCATGATACAAATGAAATTGAGAACTAAGAAAAAGTTAACAATACTAATAGGAAATGTCGAGATGCTCGGAAAAAACACGAGAGTTGAGGTATAGTGGAATTTACCACGGGAAGTTCTTTGCAGAAGATGAAGTATCGAAGCCTTGCACAGAGGTCTAATAGGAAGTGGCCACCACTAATGTGACAATGAACATGAAGAGACATCTTTCCTTTGATCTTTTTCCATTGGGCCACCACTTCATCTCTCTGTAATCTGTTGTACCATCCTTGCAACTGCATTCAAATTCAAATTTTACGTTTTCGAACTTCCCCAAAAAACCCGTGGTTGTTATTTGCATAAAAGACAAATCAAATTCTCGTATGTGTCAGCCTAATAGTCGACTCATCATACTTTTCGAACAAAAATGTGTAGTCATTCAACAAAATCGCACTTTTTATAAAAACATATATGTTAAAAAAGTATGATTGTCTAATCGTTATAGTACATAATTAGTTGCCCTTTTCTTGCTCATCCTTGTCACAAATAGTTTTAAAAGCATTAGGCAGCAAACACTTAACCTTGACACCATAATAATTAATAAAGCGACACAAACCCAGCTGTAAGACGGGTCAGACGAGTCGATCACTCATTTTTTTTTTTTTTTTTCAACAAAACTGCATATAACAACAAACCAAACAAATATAAACTCGAAAGTAGTCTGTGAATGATATTACCCTCCTCTGTCCCCTGTTTTCATATTGAGTCAAAACAGAAGAGCTTAAACAACACAACTATTATGCTCAACTATTACAAACCACAAACTGAAACCACATGTGAGATCACCAAAACCACCATGCTGTTATTTATTTTCTTACAAGCAAAAAAAAAAAAACTAAGGTAGAAGGAGACATATGATGTACCTGTGAATTGTTTATGGTCTGTGATATGGCTAGAGTGAGTTTAGAGGTGATATCACTGTGTGTGAGTGTGTAAGTTCTTGGCAATTTTCCTGGGTGCTTCTTCTCATCAACTCCTAAAAACAACACTTTCAGCTTTGATGCCTCAAATATAGCTGGCCCAAACAACCTAGCCATCTGACCCATCCAACATTCAAAACTAAAAAAGATTATTACAACCTGCTTCGGACAAACCACAAACTTCTACTGAATTTTCAGGACAAACCAAAGGAAAAGACAAAAACAAAGACTTACAGGGGCTGTCGGCCGATTGGCCTTTCTGGTTCTCCTCCTTGCTCTAGGCAGATAAAAATGGAGTCTTTCATCTGCAAACAAAGCTGATTTTAGCTTTGATGATGGTGGGGGGATTATCAGAGCAGAACTCAGAGAGCCCATTTGGGGCAAACCTTGTTTGCCTCTGAAAAATCACGAAAAAGATCCAATTTTTACGGAGGCTGAGTCTTGAACGACAAAACTAAAGGACTAAATAGTGATGGGGCTCGATGAAAAGAAAAAGGGGGAACAAAAGAGGGCCTGGTGGCTGGTTTTAAGCGTGATTTGTTGCTGTTTGTGGCTTTGCGAGGCTTTTACTTCACCCTTTAATTGCTTTGGCCGGGTTACTTTGGGTTTGGGGCATGTTTTTTGCTTTGCTTGGATGCCTAAAATGGCACGAAACCTTCTGGGGTTCGGATTTCTTACGTGGGGCAGAAGAGAACTGTAGAAAGTGATGGGCTTTTTGGAAAGTTAGCGAATACTGCATCGGGGGTGCCTGCAGTGCAAATTAACGGCACCCTCATTGTGTGCTTTTATGTACGGACCCCGTGTGATGTACGAGACAAAGATATTAAATAAATGAGTTATTTTCATAGTCTTGCCGTTTAAGTCTAAAAAGTAATAATGTTATCCATGTTTTAAATACCGGTTCGTACCGGCCGGTATTACCGGTAATACCGGATACCGGTGGTCCGACCGGTACATTTACACTCAAAATACGGTTTTGGCCAAAATACCGGTTTCGTACCAGAAAATACCGGTTTTACCGGCAAATACCGGCCAAAATACCGGTCAAAATACCGGTTTGCCATTTTTTTTAAAAAAATATTTTTAATAGATTTTTATTATTTTATTTATATAAATTGAAATTTCTACACTTAACTTTAATATGTTTATATTGTTATTAAATGTTAATTTATTTTAGTATTAATTAAAGTTAGTTTTGTATATTATTTATGTAATAATAACAAATTAATTTAATAATTATTAAAACCGGTAAAATAGACGGTAATATCGGTCGTACCGGTAATACCGCATACCGGTCGCTACACCGGTATGACGACCGGTACGGTTTTTAAAACATTGAATGTTATTATCTATTTTTTACCTCTTTTAATCAACGTTAAGTTTAAAAATTATTAAGCCGCCCTCTGCAAATATGTATAGAATTATGTGTTCGTGTCTCATAAGTAATATTATGAATAACATTACAAATTATTCATTCAAATATTTATTCATTGCAAATATATAAAATAGTTTATATAACACTCATTAAATACCACTTTCAATATATTTATAAATAAAAAGTACATAAAATTTCTTGTGTGTTCAAATTTAAATAACATTTTATGAACTCTATTTTAAATAATTCAGACATTTGGTCAAACGCATAGGTGTGTTCAAATTTAAATCATTGACATTTTGGTCTGTTGAAATTTAAATCATCTACCATGGTACTGTGATGTGTATTATATAT